ATCAAAACCATGGGCTATAGTCCATGCTTTTTGCCCAAAAAAGCCCGAAAATCCCCTATTTTCAAAGCCTCATAAAAAAATCATCATTATGAAAAAGGTGTGAAAATGGGCCAAAATCGATCAAAACCATGGGCTATAGTCCATGCTTTTTGCCCAAAAATCCCCTATTTCCAAACCATGTTAAATAAATTATGAATTTGAAAAATGTGTAATGAAAAATATTATAGTAGAAAATCTTAGAAATCGTTTTATTAATGCATTTTTGATATTTCTTTAGGTGTAAATTTTTCTGATATAATATATTTAAAATATTAAATTGTATTTCTTAAATCGGTATTATTTAGAAATAAATGATAATTAAAAATGCCGAATTTTGGAGTGGATTAAGAGGCCTAGTCTTAGTGAGATAAGTATTTATTCTGCTGAAGGATATCATATAAATCATGGTTATATCTGTATCCATACAAGAGGTATTCTTTGTACCCAAAGTAGTCGAGAACGTACCATCTCACTGAGTAAAAGGACCTATATTTAACGTACCAACTCTCCTCAGGTGTAATRTTTTGCCCATTACAGACCATGTGTCATTCTCTTGAGAATAAGATCGTTCATTCGAATTGTGTTCATACTTTTCTTTTAGGGAGTTTTCTTGCAATAGGGGGTTACCACAATCCCTACCCACACCCCCACCCCAACTTATATCCACATCTAAACCTTTAACGCTTGGAAAGTAATCCTATGCTTCTTAGGAAAATTCCGAATTGCTGTGTCATGGTCGTGCTATGAGAAATGTTTATATTTAAATATATGTAATTTATAGTAGATGAAAAAAATAATATTATCTGTAAAATTAAGACCTTAAAAATTATTGCAAAAAACAAAAATTAAATGAAAAACCAAAATACTGACTTCATGAACTACTCATCAACCGGTATGAAGGTGTGTCACTACTTCATGCTGCAATAGTAAAAAATTTTTTAGATTGCTGCGGGTGTCAGATTGATTGTTTTCACGGCGGCCATGTTGGAGGAACGTAACAAAAGAATGTCAATGAATTCTTTTGTTATATCCTCCAACATGGCCGCCGTGTCTTTTGTTATCTAATTCTCTTGGGAATGGTTGAAAACCATCAATTGAAGTGTTTGACTTACAGTATCAAAAACGAGTTTCACAAGTCCTTTAATAGAGATGTGAATAAATTTGAAAACTTCCATCAAAGGCCTGGAATGTAAAAATATGCTTATAGTATATGCTGATATCTGATTTTGTATGACTGACGTTGGTGTGCTTGAAGGTGTTCAACCTCTTTCTTCATTTCAATTGCTAACATAACCGTTTCCTAGCTAACATCTTCCTGGTCATCAAAGGACCAAAGCGCATGCTCTTGTGAAATCGCCGCTAACTCCTTTAACCATTCCTCCAATACAATCACACAGTATACAGCATTCTTGATGGTTTTGGGGTTTTTTCGCTTATAAGTATTTTTAATCCCTGTAGGCACTCTTTTCTGCTCTGATCTTTCTGCTTTTGGGCTTGCTACAGGTGTCGCACCCTCGGGACTTGCACTAGTGGTCAAGTCTGCTGTGCTACCATACTGTGGGCTCATAGATTCAGGAGTGTCAACAGATTCAGTTAGAGACAAACTAGACGATGTACTCTTCGTCTCTATGTTCCCAAACCCAAGTCCCTTATCAAGTGAAGGGGGCGGACCATCCTTTAGTAGCTTGACCACATACAACAGTGATGACTCAGTTCTTTGGCGTTGCTGATGTTTAAGTGAGCGTGGGCTTCCTGTGTCATTTGAGCTGATTTTTTTAGGTTCCTTTGGTTTTGAATTGATAGCAACGACGCTTTGAATACTAGCTTTACTCTTTTCCTCTCGTAGGATAAGGTTTTTTCTTGCTCGACGCAGCAACTTTTCTAAACCATCCACGTTGTCAACAACGTTTTCTACCTTAATTTTGATAGAACTGAGAATCTACGAGAAAAGATATGAAAAATGTACAATGCAAAGAATATTAGGAAATGACGTGTGTTTGAACCACGTTTTTCATTCATGGTAGATATCTTTCATTTGATGGCATGCAACAGAGAGTATTCCAAAAAAGATCCTTACAACTGGTTACGTGTCAAGTGATGAAGAATTTTTTTTAATGAATAGTGATATCACGCATTTTGATTGGTTGAAACACTATCCTGTCACGTGTCTAATTTTGAGTGATGAAGCATTTTATTGGATGAACAGTAATATTGCGCATTTTGATTGGTTGAAACACTACTCTGTCACGCCCTTTGACTATCCTTAGTCATGTACGATCCAAAAACGAAATGTCAGTCAAAATTTTCTCGCAAAAGTGTGCCCCCCCCTGTTAGTCTATAAAGCTTACATACCTGAAATAGTGATCTAACTCCAGGCTTGAGCACCATGTTGTAGTTAAGCAAGAAAGACTTGAGTAATGGCTGCGGGTAGTATGATAACCGTGTGATCACTGCTGTAAGTATCAGATTCACGTAAAATGTATTGTTATGCATATTCTCCAGCTTCTTAAAAATTGTGTCTAAGAATAGTCCTAAGTTTACTTCTTGCTTTGGGTTTTCGAATTCGGACAGCGATCGCTGTCTTTTGATTCCAGGTGTTTGGTTTGATGTATAGCTTGATAAGTCCGAGGCCGTTCGGCCAGGAATGGCGCCATTTACATGAGACATGGAATGACGTTTGCTTGATTCACTAGTCGAGTCTACGGTCAAATGGTCAGCGCCATCATAAGTGGAGCTCCAGCATGAGCAGCGCATGGCACAGTAGCGTATTGCCGTACGAGCATCCATGAGGTATTCCATATAATCAGATTGGACTTYACTGTAACGGGTGTGCATGAGGTGGGGCCTGGTGATGAACAACAAAAGCCATTACTGTCAAGTTTATGGATTGTCAAAAGAAATAAATGCAATTAATAATAAAGCAAAGGTCAATGTTTAGCGTGCATGTACGCAGATTGATGCTACAATCCTGGACAAAAGTCATTGGGACACTTGAAAACTCAGCGCAAAATTTTTAAATATTGTCTTAATATCCATAATTTCTCAATGTTTATACGCCATTTCATCTCTATGAAGCTCGCCCCCCCTCCCCCAACTCAATGTTGGTCAAAGCACACATCATCGCAAACGCCTCGTTTGCCCCAACATTGAATTAGAGGGGGGGGGGGGGGNGGGGGGGGGGGGGGAGAAAATAACAATTTCAATTTTATGTTGCTGTCCCAATACTTTTGTCCAGGATTGTAGCTAAGCATGACATAAACGAAAGCTTGAGTTGCGCACGACACGTGAGCATGCGTGCTCCATCCATTCCCTTTTTATAGCAGTCAGCCAATCAGAGCGCGCGTTATATGGTAGCGTGCTCGATCCATTTTTTCTTAGTAATCAGCCAATCAGAACGCACGTTATATGGTAGCGTGCTCCATACATTTCTTTTCTTAGTAGTTAACCAATCAGAGCGGACGTTGTATGGTAACGTGCTCAGCCAATCAGAGCGCGAGTTATATGGTGGTGCGAAATCAAGGGAAAATCCATTTCCTTTTCTTAGTAGACAGCCATGCAGAGCGCGGGTTATGGTAGTGTGAAATCAGGGGAAATTTGTCACTCAACTGTTGTAAATCTAGTGGCAGAGCGCACCTAAGAGGGAATTAAGAAAGCACAGAGCGTCATTATAATCAAATCACATTAAAAAAAGATTGATTGACCCAAGGATCATCCACACAAGAAGGTATTTGATAATTACAGACTACCAAATGATGAGTCCTATTGGATAACGTGTAATCAGTTCAATAATGAGTTTTTAGTTCTTGCAGATATTGATAGTAATTGTTAGTTGCCGTTGGACCTCGATGAGGCAAGTCGTGTAGCCAGAAGTGGAAGCTAGGGATATATTTGTTCCTAAAAAGTCTAATTTCATAAAGGGGCTACACACCACTAAGTCCCTAATCACAGTATCACGTCAAGTGTATATAATAAAAGGTATATAAAGGTACAATACATGCAAGGTACCATCAAATTACACTGTGAATAAGACAGCTGATTGTTTAAGTGGTTTGTTATTGTAGTGYAATACCTACAAGTACTTGAAGCCCCTGTTACCTAGGTAACGAGGTTACAGTAATAGGAGATTATATTCTTACCTGTACATAACAAGGTCATGTGAGGTTTCCAAGTCAATCTTTACTTGGCCATCTACAGATTTATTAAGGCTTTCTGACGAAGATGTTGGTGACATTGGCTGACTGGATTGATGATATGAATCACAACAAGATGGAATCAGGGACAGGAACTTGGCGGCACTCTTACTGTAGTAGTCTACCTCTCTGACTACTCTCTTCTGACTACTGAGGATGTGAGAACAAGGGATAAGATACCTAAAAAAACAAGATATGATTAATAAATGAAACAAAAAGCCTTTGTTATAATGTTATCTTTGACAGACAGACAGACAGACAGACATACATACAGACAGACATGTGCAAGTGTACGTGCAAACTTACAGATAAACAGAAAGGCAAGTAGACAGGCTAGTATACATGGCAAAAATTGAAACAGGAAGAAAGATGGATCAACAGATGGACAGACAGTAGGAAGACATAAACAAATAGATGGACAGACTGATGGATGGATGGATGAAAAGACAGACAGATAGACAGACTGAACTCAAGCATACAGGAAGAGAAGCAGGCAGGCAGAAATGAGCAATAACAATAAAAACAAAAACCAGACAGRCAGGCAGAAAAATCTGAGGACAACAAAAAATGTAAGAATTTACATTTCTGATCTTCTTCCCCATTGGTGGCAACATGATCCACTGACCTTCTTACTGAATACAATCAGATATGAAGACCTTTGCAGACAGACAACAAACAGTTGTCTGATTAGAAGAGATAACTAGCTAAAAACTAGTGTGAGCTGCGTCTGTGTTTCTAATGAAACAGCAATGATAAAAACGTAAATTATACACCGTGAGAAGATGAAAAAACTGACGTTTTGAACACTAGTCCTTCGTTGAAGGGAAAGAGCTCTTTTACTCTGACGAAGAAATAGCGTCAGTAACCTCAGTATGTTTTTTTATCTTTTCACAGTGTATAATTTGCCTTTTTATCATTAGATGTCTGACAATTAATTACTCAACTTACTTCAAAACTAGTGTATACATGATATCTTCACAATTCAAATCCAGTAGGGTGTAAAATAATCCTAAAGACACTACAGACAGCTGCAAACAAGGAAAAAGAAAAAGATTAGTTGGATAATGCTTGAATTTTGCTCCACTTTCATTAAGTTTTAACTTCACTATTATAATATTTTAAAGAGGAATTCCTATTTTAAAGATTACCTGGGATTCATGACTAATCCTGGATACAAGTGAATCCAGGACAAGTATCCCATCACACTTTTCTGTAAGAATGAACTTGACAAACACTGACATCAATTTGGAGTCAGTAATGCTACGCAAAAATAAATCTATGTAAGCAGTCACTGCTGTCAGGGCCTCTGTAGAACTCTGCAAAAAAATTAAAATATTTTACAATGAATAATATTATTATTAGTATAAAAAAGAGAACAAAAAGAGAGGGAAAAATGTAGTATAAAATATTACCAAATTCCTGTCTGTGGAAACAGAAAGTTTTCATTTAACAAATAGACATCAGTTTTTTATGTGTCTGTCCTATTATTGACGATAAATTGCATCATCACATTGTCAAAGGAGTGGGGATTCATGAGGTGTAGCGGAGTGGATTTGCATACTACTTTGACAATGTGATGACGAAATTTATCATCAATAAGAGGACAGACACATAAAAAACTGGTCTATTTGTTTTTTACAATTTAAACAATAAAACACAAATTAAACGATAAAAACTTCTCATCTTTAGTGATCAAAACAACCAACGGAAAGAGCGCAAACTCGTTGACATCAGCTTTATCTGTCTGTCCCCTCATTGATGATAAAAAATAACCAATCAGTGCCCGAGAAATTTGTAAGTTATTATAAAAATATGCATATTCAATACGTTTCTTTATTAATAAAGAAGTCAACTGCTTAGAATTTCAACCAACATATAACAACCAGAAAATGGTTAAGACTGACCTGTGACAATGCTGAAGACATAACAGAGACTAAAAATCCATTATAGATGAGTTCCAGCAACATGGTCTGTACTTTAGAATGTGCTATCTGGGAACATGTTGTGATAAGAGTTTTTAGTTTTGGAGTGTGGATAAGAAGACATAAGGTAATTTTTTTTATTTTACTGCCGTTTCCCTTTCTCCAATTCCTGGACACCCCCTGACTTTACAATATCAATATTACCTGAATCACATTGTTACAGAATTCCAATGAAGTCAGGAAAGCAACAAGTTCAGGAAAGGTTGCCCATAAACCTCTCTCTAGCGAGTACCAGTCTTCTGACGGGATATCAAGTGATGTGGGAAGATCTGAAAAAAGGCCACTAAGACCAGTAGCTAGTACCTGCCAATAACAACATTTATAAATATTTCATCTTTGATAATATCATCTGGTGCTATATACATGTGCCGATTATTATTAAAAGGAACTTGTAACCGTGAAATATTTCATCATTGTGCTCAATTGTCATTATAGGAATCAATCGTTTAGATCCAACAATGACTATGGGAATGTATAGTTGTTCTCATGATTGGATCTAAAGGTCATTAATGTCTGTGTAGTGGTGGTTCACTCGCCTCCTGGGTCCTGGGTTTAATTCCCAGACTCGGCATCACATGTAAGCAGAGAATTGTTGGGTCTCCCCCTTGGTTCAACCATTGCTTTCCATTTCTCCTCACTCAGCAAGCTAACCAATTGCTAAATTTCAACAATCCAATCAGTGACTCAGCCATCATCAGAGCACTGCAAGGTTGTTTCATGGTTTGATAAACTTGATGTTTGTTTTTGTTATAAAATGACATTTAAGTTAGCTTGCCAAGGGTCTGCTTTTTTTGTGAGGCTTTTGGGAAACCAGCAATCGTTTATTCATTTTATTTAAACCCTTACATGCCCCATAAAAAGAAATACCTGGGGCTCTTTATAGTCATATCCTGTTACATGTCTCTGATGTTGTTTCAAGCATACAAAGTCTAACAGCTTGACATCCAAAAATTGATTGTTTACCAAATATAATGCGATAGACAATACAGTATAAATAGACATCTTGTAAAAGGAATTGAGCGGTTATGAAATAAAGTAGTATTACAGACTACGGTTGAATTTTGCTGCCAGATCATTCGATCTTGTGATATATAGTCAATCCTTCAATTTGTAATCCATTCATTCGTAAAAGATAAATAACACTTTACAATATTTACTGTTAAAGAATCGCGAAAGTTTGAACAACGATTAAAAAAGCCATCTGACTTGTTAGGATGCTAAGATCACGTTAAAAAATAGAATCACCAAATACGCCTAATTAAAACTGACTTTCAGATTGTGAATGAAGAGTACAGCTGGTATGGTAGAACCACTAATATTGCCCAACTTTAATTTACCAACTTACTTAAACATTGTTAATATTCATAGAATTCATACGAGTGAACTTCTATATTGTAAGCAAGTTAATTTTGGAGAAACGCTGATAATAAAAGTAAAAAAAATTTCCTTACCGGGCAAAAGTTGGTCTTTTCTAAGATGTAGTTGCCGAGACGTTCGTCTACTGAAGAAAGAGCCATGCATAAAAGAACAGCATCTCTGGCCCACACACCAACATTACCATCCCGATGAAGATAAGGAATCAGTAAAGAAAACACAGAAAGATTCCTAACCTCTGTGTGTCTATGATTCCCCAAGAAAAATAAGTCTAGCAAAGCGAAATCTCTGTTTACGCTCACACATAAGCCTTTCAGAACAGATACAAAATCATTCTCCATCTCTGCTGGGACGCCATTAGCACACGAGTGAAGGAGAAATAAAAGTGGCTCCCAGATTTCTTCGTATAGTAATAAAGGACTCCTACATCTATCAATGAGGTTTCTATAAATCTTCATCTGTTCTGATCTCATAATTATATCTCTTGTAGATCCTCTTGATTCTGCAGTGCTCCATACATACAGTACCTGAAAGACGTTCTCGTCGAGGACGTACTTCAAGCAACTACCAGGATAATCTTCTCTTTCCTCGATTAAGACTGAAACGATCTCATTCAAATGATACACCAGGATCTTACACTTTTCCTTATCACTGACTGTCTTTTCATCCAAGCCCATGATTTGCTTAGAATTGTTCCAGTGCATATCTACAAGATTTAAATTCTCTGCATTCTGCTGATGAACTTCTCGAACATTTCTCCTCTCTACCTCGCTGCTTGCAGTTTGTGACGGCGAAAAGGACGCCCATTTCTTCAACAAACTCATCCTAAAACCTTAGTGCACAGTTCAGCTTGTTGAGCTCAGAAATAAATGGATTATGTCAAGAAAATTCCGATTAGTTCTACCCGCCATTTTACAAGAAGTGTAAACATGGCGACTTTATATGAATGTTTATCTCAATGACAATAACAGCCAATCAGAAGCAATACTTCTAGATTAGCATAATTATATCAAATCTGTCCACCCTCCCCTCCCTCATTATCATAAATGTCGTGTTTAATTTTTGGACCTTTCACTTATATGATATTTCCCAATTAACAGTAAATCCATATATTTTTTTAAATATTTATTTCATATTTTAGAGACCACGAACTTCCATTGGCGTAGGTCTATCCATCGATGTAGTAACATCTGGATTCATAAGGTTAATTTGAGCACATCTTGTAAGCTATCCAAACTTGTTCTGATAACAATCATGTCTTTGGATATCGAGTCCAACGTTTTGCGGTAATCCAATTTCTGTTCTGGATGTTTCATTTTTGCTGCAGGATCGGAACTCTCTTCTTTACAGTCCTCCTCAGACATTGTTACCTTGATCTGTTCCTCTAGACTTGGGTTGTCATCATCAGCCTCGTCCAAGTGCGTTGCCAAAGTAACAAGCACTGATTTAAATTCAGCAAGGTCATCCATCAAAGACATGACAGGGGCGTTAGTGTTGAATACTGGGTGGGGTCCCGACTTTCTGCTGCTTCGTGTGTTGTTCGTAGGGTCGACCGTCCAACTTGCAGTGATTTCTTCCTCTAACTCGACACCACCCCATTTTTGATTTTGAGGCTTGCTTTCGTCACTAGATTTTTCTAAAGACAGGTCAGTTTCCTGGACTTCTTTAAAATACGTTGCACAAAGAGCAGCTGCTTCTTCTCCTCCTTTTTCTTCTAGTCCAGTTGTCTTTTTAGCAGCAAGACGGCCATGTGGCTGTGTAATCTTTATGTTATCCTTTTCTTCGTCAATCATCACTACTTTACCTTCTCCACTACTGTTGTAGCACGAAGCACGATTATTTTTAGTGTAATCCCTCTTTCTGTGATCTTTGTATTGGCTTTCTTCACCGTTAATCCAGTACGCACTTGAATCATGATCCTGAAAATCATAGGGCGTTGAATAGGGTGTGGTTGTTGGTTCACCTACCTTCGCCGTGMGCGTTACAGTCCCAAACATTTCTCTTGTTTCTGTATCAACAACTGGTTCACGATCAACGATTTGTTCTTCAAGACCTCGATCGTAACTTAATGACGTATCTGCCTGGTTCAGATGAAAATCTCCTCCTCCGCATTCACAATCACGCTCTCTTATCCCCCAAGTGAATCCTGCAACGCCCAAAACAGCTCGCTCCATTATTCGAAGCGTCCAACAGCTTTCTATGGCTTCATATCCTGAGTCCAGAAAGCCAAGGAGAAAGTAACACATTTCACTTTTCCAGGCATTTTAAAACCAACTTTTTGTTGACTTGTCCAGTGAAGATGCACATCTTGATTGTGACGTCATAGTTCGAGCTCGTTATGACGTCATTGCGCGCGCCGCTCAAAGGACTTTCTCCTGATTCTTGTTTGATTTCTTTTTTTTTTTTTCGATGAATAATGGTAATTGAACTGCGTGGAGTGCAATTTGTATAAGAAATCGCATGGGCTCGAGTGCAATTAAAAAAAATATCACGAGTGCAGCTTAGAATTAAGATTTTCAAAATTGCACGAGCCGTTAGGACTATCATTTAAAAATCCCCTTCAATAGTTTTCTAGTACTTTTCTTTTGCTAAATCCTTATCATTGTTCAGTTATAGGCACAGTTAGCCCAACTGATTGATCATTCAACAGAGATCAATCATTAACAAATGAATGAAATAAAACCTTTTGTGGTCTGTTGCTTTTCTTGCTGTAGACTAAACATAGGTTGTATTTAAGTTTAAGATTAAACTATGAATTAAGATTTAACTACTGTTAGTCACTCATAGCCCAAAGCGATGATTCTTTATGATATTATGGCTAAGTTACATGTCATGTGGACAAGAGATTCAGACTATAAACGCGGCAGTACGTCAGCTTAACAAACTGAAAAGTCAGTTCATCCCTGTCCGCTTACCAAAACCTTTTATATGGTAAAATAGAAGTGAAACTAAGTCATTCGTTTCAGGTAACAGTCAGTTCATCCCTGCTTACCAAAACCTTTTATTTGGTAAAATAGAAGTGAAAACTAAGTCATTCGTTTCAGGTAACAGTCAGTTCATCCCTGCTTACCAAAACCTTTTATTTTGTAAAATAGAAGTGAAACTAAGTCATTCGTTTCAGGTAATAGTCAGCAGTTCATCCCTGTCCCGGCGCTTATCAAAACCTTTTATACGGTAAAATACAAGTGAAAACTAAGTAATTCGTTTCAGGTACTGAAAGTAAAAAAGGAAAGGAAAAAAACAAAACAAAA